TGAAGGATAAGAGCAATGCACACACGATATATACTGGTTCGGCCTAAATGCCTACATCCAGTCCCCGAAGCAATCGTGCCCAGGCCTTCACTAACCCGTCAAACTTAACGGAGTTTGACAATCCGAATACAACTCGAGAACTTGATTTCACAAGCCTCTTATCTTACCACCAAAGTTTTGATTTCACAAAACTCAGGATTTCTTCCACCTAACGTTTGATTTCACAAACCGTTAGGATTTCTACCACTTAGTGTAATCCCAACACCAAGAATACAAATCCCTTACAATAAAGTAAGAAAACAAACCACAACCGAGTAATTCTCCCAACACGGAGTAGATTGTTGCAAATATAATGAAGTCCTTTAGAATATGGCAATATCTCTCAAAGACTCAAGCAATGAGGAAAACACTCAAGCAAGAAATGATTTAGCAATCAAAACAATTGCCTTGCTTGGATATAAGGAGGGGATTGAGTAGAATCTCTTTGGATATTCAAAGGATATGTTTTGAAGTGTTTTCAATGTATATTCTTGGCCAAAAACACGAGATAGGGTAGTTTATAGAAGATAGAGAGTGGATAGGGATGAAAAGCTTTCAAAAAACTAGCCGTTTGGTAAACTGTCGAACTATTCGACTAAATCAAGACTTAGTCGACTAGTTTTGGTGAAACTACAGTGTGACTTATTCAACTAGTTCTGCATTTATTCAACTAAGTTAGAATAGAATTTCAGGGATTTAGTCGAAAAGTTTTCAATTTATTCGAATAGTTTGCTGAAAAAAATGTGTTTTAAAGGTAGGATAATAAGGGAATGAACCTTAGAGATGCCATACTCTTTAACACAAAATCTAAGACCTAAAACACTACCCAACTAAAGAAACAACCTCTTCGATCTCGTTCCTTCCACCGATGCTCAAGTCCCTTTTTCCCGGACGGATATGGACTTGTTGTAGCTTTGATTCTTAGCCTTGATGCACAAAATGTTGATGATGTTTTGTCACCCTTTTGTCATTATCAAAACCTAAAAGACAATGGGCAAAAGACATTGCAAAAATACATATTCATGATAGCACATTGTCCAACATGAAGGACCTTGGAGAACTTAACTTTTTCCTTGGCATTGGGGTTCTCAAATCTCAAGAGGGGATCTTTATTTGTCAAAAGAAGTATATCCTTGATCTTGTAACAGGTTTTGATAATTCCAAACCGCCGTGATCAAGTCAAACATTGAATATACAAGGCGAAGAACGAAGATAAAGAACAAGAGCTAAAAGAGACCAAGAACGAAGACCGCAGTCTTTAGTATTGTTGAGTCGGTCATAATTGTAATCAAGACCGACCCAACCCTCACGCATTGGCTCTTTAGGCTAAAACCTTTCACTGCATTTCTTACATTATAAAAATGTTTTTCAAACTTGTTTAAGTCATTAAAAACACTTGGTGTTCGCCCAAACCAAAAACCAAGCCATCCAGCGTTCGGGTTTTCGGAAACCGGCTTTCGGTTGTCGGGTTTGGTTTTTGGCATCCGAACCAACCAAGTGGTTTTCAGCATTTTATGATCTGCTTTCACTCTTTGGCATGTCTAAACGGTTCTCCAACAAAAACGCTTTGAAAACCAACTCTCGCTTTTAGTCGTTTGACAAAAACCACGCAAAACGGCGTAAACTTGGCTAGCCGTGGTTTTTACTCAAATGACGTGATTTTTAAAGTGTCTCATTTGATTTCTTAGCCAAATACATCAAATAAGTGTCTTAAACACTTGGTTTTTATTTTGGAGAACTTTGGATTTTTCGGTCGGTTTTTGCATCGGTTGGCTAGGCCGTGGTTAAGGCAAAAACCATAGGTCTTCGGCTAACCACCCACCCAGCGATGGGAAGAACATCCCATCGATGGGTAAGTAGCCCCTTAGCCAAACCAACTTCCAGAACCATGCCAAACAGCGATGGGAAGCTCTACCCATCGCTGTTCAAGCCTTGGTCCAATATTATCACAAGGCAGAATGCCCTTACCCAGCGATGGGAAGCTTTACCCATCGATGGGAACCCAACGATGGTATTAACATCGCTGGGAAGGCCATGTTGTTTTTCCAGAAGCCACCTTCCCATCGATGGGAAAATGCAAACATCGCTGGGAAGGCAGCCTTGGGTCCTTCCTCGCTTTCCAGTGGCGACCTTCCCATCGATGGGTAGATCCTACCATCTCTGGGAAGGCACCTGCATTTCAAAAATTCAGAGCCGTTGGGCACCACATTAATTTCCCAACAGCTATATTTTTGAATCCAAACGGCCTAATCTCCCATTCCATATATATATCCCTCATATTTGCTCATTCTAATACACCATTAACATCATAATTTCATTCCTTGATCCAAATCTCAATATTTCTTCAATCCTTCTTCAAAAACGCCTCAACCATGGCCGGAGGAAGATCAAAGTCTAAGGCTTCCAAGAAGAAAAGCACCGCCGAACCCTCGAGCTCTGCGCCTCAACCGTTCCCCTACCTGGACGGATCGTTTCTTGAGTTCGGGTCGGAGGAGGAACTCAACCGGTTCCTCACGCACTTTGCCAAGCGTCCCATTTCTCCGCCTAGGGTGCTGCCCGAGTTGAACCCTCAACAAAAGGGGTACCACGACCTCGACAATCAGCTTCAAGCATCGGGTCTGTGGTCGTTCGTCTCCAGGAGCCGCTCGAGCTTCAATCCCGCCTTTGTGCGAGCCTTCTACTCCAATCTCCGCCGGGACGGGGACACCATTCGCAGTA